TAAAGTAAACGCCACGGCCATTTAAACGCAACTGTTTATTGGTAACTCCTAGCAACAAAACAAAAGTACAATCTGTCACACGCCACTAATATCACGGAATTCGGGGAATTATGGGAGACTAAAGTAAACGCCACGGCCATTTAAACGCAACTGTTTATTGGTAACTCCTAGCAACAAAACAAAAGTACAATCTGTCACACGCCACTAATATCACGGAATTCGGGGAATTATGGGAGACTAAAGTAAACGCCACGGCCATTTAAACGCAACTGTTTATTGGTAACTCCTAGCAACAAAACAAAAGTACAATCTGTCACACTCCCACGGGAGAAAAACCGGAAGGTTGTATAAAACTAACAGAATGTAAAAATAAGATATTCTAAGTACCATAAACACAATAAACTTACTAAAAGGTCAGTCTGTCAGGTGGTCGTGAAATACGACCAAAACGAGTAGTTAACTGTCGGTCAGTAGTTAACAGTCGGTCAGTAGTGGAGTCAGCAGTCTCGTCAAGATTAGTGTCAGAAGTGTGGTTAGACACTGAATTTCGCCTATCCTCAAGGGTTTTATGAGAGAATGGTAGGAATGGTCAAGCAAATTCTAGGTCGAGCTTCTGTGTCGTTAATGGAATTGCAAACCGTTTTGTGCGATTGCGAGGCTACGATTAATAACCGACCACTGACATATGTCAGTAATGCCGTTGACGATTTACGACCACTTACACCCCAGTCCTTCATACAACCCTTGACTGGAAACTCCGTTGAAGACTTAGACGAGATCGACAGTAAAGCTCTAAACATGGGAGCCAAATATTGTCAAGAAATCCGTGAGCATTTTCGCCAACGTTTTCGTACGGAATATATCAGTAATCTTATACAGAAAAATTCTGTCAAAAACGAGGATTATTTGTTACACAAGGGTGATATAGTGCTAGTAGGCTCCGAGTGCAAGCGATTGATGTGGCCTTTAGGAGTAATTGTAGAGACGTACGCGGGTCGCGACGGTCAAGAGCGTGTGGCAAAAGTTCGTGTCGGCAATGGTTATAAAGTTAGACCTTTTCAACGGCTTTATCCTCTAGAACTTCATCAAGAACCTGCAAACACGGCTGGGGATAGGCGAAATTCAGTGTCTAACCACACTTCTGACACTAATCTTGACGAGACTGCTGACTCCACTACTGACCGACTGTTAACTACTGACCGACAGTTAACTACTCGTTTTGGTCGTATTTCACGACCACCTGACAGACTGACCTTTTAGTAAGTTTATTGTGTTTATGGTACTTAGAATATCTTATTTTTACATTCTGTTAGTTTTATACAACCTTCCGGTTTTTCTCCCGTGGGAGTGTGACAGATTGTACTTTTGTTTTGTTGCTAGGAGTTACCAATAAACAGTTGCGTTTAAATGGCCGTGGCGTTTACTTTAGTCTCCCATAATTCCCCGAATTCTGTGATAGTAACATTATCAATTTGTGATATAGAACAGTTTGCAGATTCAGTTGTAACATCATTAACTTGGCTTGTACTCATAAGAAACCGTACAGGAGTACACAAGCTACTAGATTTAGACACCCTACTTCTTCATAATATACATAGCCAGCTGCGTATAACATCAGACGAAAGTTAAAAATACTTCTCTCTATTCAATCCAGCACACAATAAGTCGGAACAACAACCACAGCTGGATCAAGTCATCGTGTGATCATTTTCCTCCTTTCTATGATTTACATCATCCGCATGTAGCCATCGTCCAAACCAGCAGACTTTACAGATGGATTTACAGACTGGTGACAGAAAAACGCGTCTGAACGGAGCACCACACAGACAGGTGAACTCGACCGCTAGGACGCGGCACGTTGCACCGAACGAAGCACGCGATGGTTCTTCCAGCGAGTAACAGGAAAACAGGGTTCGAACTTAGCATCACACAAGCCAGTAACTCGACGGCAGATTTTTGATTTTATTTTGCTTGTAATATGAATCTTCTGAAAGACTGAGATAAAAAGATTGCACTTACGAATTTTTCCACTTTGTACGGGATGAATTAAAATTTGATTTGATAATAAATATCACTGTTTACAAAGTTATTAAATACATTAAATACACGGACGATATTTTTATTAAATACACAGAGCTCATAACAGACGGTTAATAATCTTGTTACCCCCTTTTCAAGATTGTAATGCAGAATGTTCTTAAAATTCTTATCTTAATACTATAGGCTCGCCTGGCACAGGTGCAAATTAAATAAGTGAAGTTGGGGTAACAACTGGTCATCTATAAATATTGATATATTTCCAAATTACATATTCGTACTCAATAAATATAAGTTATTATCAAAATCAGTCTATTGATGTATTTATTTATGGTATGTAGTTCTTCGACGATACTTACTTATTAAACTCATTGATTTTACCTACATATTGAACTTCTTTAAAAAATTAGATCATCTTCATCACCAGCCTATTAATGATCCCACTGCGGGGACGTAAGCTTTCCATATAAATGGAAAGGAATATGGAGATGTGCCATAACCCACCACTCGAGCCGGCACCAACGGCTAAACGTGCCTTCCGAAGCTCAGAAGATCCTGAGATAATAAACTTTTAGGCACCCATCTCATTACCAGCCATTGCATAAGTTGCTCAACAACCGTATCTCAAGCCTAGCGCGCTGAACATTGCGCCATCGAGCCCTTCCAAAAAAATTAGAACGAGCTAATTAATATATTAGATCATAAATATAAATGTACCTACGTGTTGCTTTATAGATAATATTATCCACTTAAAATATTCAAAGGCCAGAGCACTTCGTTCGACCTAAATATGATCCGGCTTGTAATAGTCATTATTCATTTCATAAACAATAATTCGCTCAAATATATGAGTAAGTATCGGGATGCACTGCGCTGACGTAATCGACACATCAGCTACATTGAGAATATTTTGATTGTCGTATGCTTGCACATTTTAAACCGACCTTGTCACACGCTATTTTTGTCGATATCTACTTGGCAGAGTCGACGGATTCTTTTCGTAGTTAATTAAGCTTCGTTGGTAATGAATTATAGTCGTCATCACAAATTCTATATTAAACTTCTATAATTAATGTGGAAGTTGCGCTGAATACGTTATGGTTGCAAAATTAACTGCGACAGTCAATTAGAGGTTTTCTCGGAACGTTTAATTTTACTTATTTTTAACCTTGACTGGAATTTGTAAAATCATACAGAACTAAATAGAAGCATCATATAAATAAATGAGACTGATCAAATACAAAGCCGATCGAATTAGGAACTTGAAAAAATCTTTCGAATTTTTTAAACTTTAAACTCGTCTATAAAGTGGGCTCATCACATTTTATCTACTCCAAACACTTCTTTTGCTATGGTCACTGCCAGGGCCCGTTAATATTCCTATATAGGCAAACTAGGCAAATGCCTAGAGTGCTCGCATGCAGTAATTCCCTTAAAAATTACTTGTTCTTTGAAAATAAGCCCATCTCCGCGGGAAAAACCTAACGAGTTTCTTTTGTCATTGACAAAATTACACCATTTAATCGGTGTATCTAGGTACATAGGTACTTAAATATTTTATTTTATTGTGATTTTTTATGGGCGTTGTTCCAGCGTTTTGCCTAGTGCGTAAACTTGACGCCTTAGACAAAACGCTGTAATTTTTGAGACGGCGTTGTTTATTTCCAGTCATCGCCCACACTATTAAGAATTTTTATTTGTGTCAATTCGAAATCCATTATGGGTACTTTTAGTATGTAGTTAATTACTTAGAACTTCTTTTAGTTATAAAAAATAAGAAATATGGAATAAGGCGCAGGAATCGTAAGTGCAATTATTAAGTAGCTATGAGCTAGTCGTTTAGATTGCAGGCGTCGCCACTTTACGTGTTTACTACAAGAAGAGCTATAAAGCACTTTTAGTATACAAATAAAAAAACAATTACTATACTAAAAGAAACCAAACTCGTGGCTGTGTAGTAAAATTCTATATAAGCCCTACTAAGAATCTACCTAACTCAAGATGTTAAAGGAACTTGTAAGTATCCCACTCAATCACGCAAGTGTGTCAAATCATTACTTACTTAATTTATATTTTTCTAGAATGGCTCTTACATCCGATCATAATTCAATGGATTACTTATACGCTATTGCTTTAGAATAAGTGTCTAATTTTCAATTTTACTTATGAAATTCTACATCCTTTTACTATTGCATATATCGCCTTACCACGTCAGTCACGTTCAAACAACAGTTGGATTAATTCTAATTAGAGCTGCATCCGGTGCCATTGTTTTGCAACGCGTTTGGAAACAATGGTCATATTACTCAAATGGTATTGCTATTTACGGTCTAAACAAAAACGTTACCAACAGTTCATTCATGAGTATCGCTACCAGGCGAGAATCCACTGGTGCAATGTTTGCATTTTACCAAATTTTCAAATATTAAATTCTTCATATACCGATGAATATATTTTGAAAGTTTATCCGCAAATGGGTACATAATTTAATGAACTACATATGTAAGTACTTACTTATTTAATTTAACATAATTGTGGTGAAAATTATGTAGGTAGTAGAGATCGAGAAGCTGAGAGTACTTATAAGGAACGACCTTTCCACTCGCCCACGTTCTCTTCAATGAGATGTATTGCCAATTCGCGAATAGTCTAGTTTTGGTTCGTGCCATCATATTTATTGATTTATCATTATTGGCAAACTCGCTCAAAGATAATTCTAATACATATATTAATCGGGAAACAAGAATAGGCCAAGACCCACCATATGGGATGAATGCAGCTTGGGTAAGTTACAGACTTAAGGCTCAAGGAGCATTTCCCCTGCGTTTTCAAAAAAGAATCGATGACATCACAGATATTGCAAGGACCGGCCTTTACAAAAGTTGCTTAAAGCCGTCACACAAATTACCTACTCAAATAAAATGTAAGGAAAAAGGTTATAAAAATAAATGACAATAATGAAATTGGTTTTATATTTTATTGACATTTAAAACTTTTGTAACAACTGTTTGTACTAAAATATAAATGTGTATCAAGTTAAAAGCTGTTAAGTTTGTGTATCGAAATAACATGCTAGTTAACGCTGCCAATAGCAGGTAATGTTAAGCAAAATGGACTTTATTATTTACTTACAATTAAGACACTTTTCCAATCGTCGTTGTCATAGCCAATTATTTTCAGTTTATTGCTTTTTTACATTTAAATATTCAATGCAATCAACAAGTTATATAAGCTCCTACTTAGGCCCAAGATTTTCTCAATATTTTGCGTGTTTGTTCCAAAATAACCACAAATATAATTCTTAAATTTCTACACACTTTCCTAATAACATAATATCCAAAATAATATCGGGAAATGCATTAAACAATGCACAGATTCCTAACAATCACAGTGAAAGCCATGTCTAAAGCAACATTCAACGTGAACAGTGCGAAACGCAACTGCGCTCTACAATGAACGAATGGAATAGCCAAATAATTGACCGATTATAATGTAAGTGTTAATCAATTTGGAGATTCTCTATAAGATTCTAAAAATAAATATGAGACAATCGCCAATACTCCTTACAGTAAAATAAGACGTAAATTAAAAATAAATTATTAACAGTATTGGAATAGCTGCTGTGGATTCCGAGCTGGACATTCACTCAGTGTTTCTGGATGGGGATGTTTCTGTCGGTGATGGCTAATTGTGGCAAGGGCGCTTCCACGGTGAGTACACCATCGCGGGAGAGCGACGACTTGATGGCCTCTGGGTTGGTGCCTTTAGGCAACAAGAATTCTCTGTTGTACTCTCTGTACACTGACTTGGTGTCCGATTTCTCTTCGTGTTTTGCGTGCACCTGGAATTAATTAAATTATTAAGTTAATATAAATGCATTTTGTCATTACAGACTTTGTTCTTAGGAAAAGTGAGTAAACTCCTAAATGGTAAATTCTCCTAAATGATAAGTCCTCAACCTACAATAATAAATTAAGCTTTTGCACCAGACGCACTTCTTATAGGTTATAGTTATCATTATCATCAATAATTTTACGTCCCCACTGCGGGGGCTCAGATAATAATAATTCAAAAACTTAATTCAAAAATACCATTTAAAGCGATAAAAAATATTTATATCGTGCAACGATCGACGATCATCAAAGATAATCGTGCCCGAAACCTGAGAAATCTTTTTTTTATTTCCTAAAATTGGACAACAGACATTCTTGCATGTCTAAACGAACGGAACGTTCGTCAACCTTTAAAAAAAACGAAATGTCTGCGTGCAGAAAAGCGACAGTAAACATCGTCTGGCATGTTGCCGACGCCGGGAGGCGGCGCCGCGGTTTTAAGCCAATATTTTTTATACACTTTATAAATAGTAGTTCATTATTTCGTGGATAATTAATCACCATTAGGCCGTCATAACTAAAATAACACTGTCACAACAAAATTAATCTAATGCAAAAGCAGTGACCTTTGGAAAAATAATGTAATCTTAAAAATATATATTTCAATTTCAAAATATGTGTATGTACTTTATTGCCCGCCTGCCAGCCCTGGCTTGGCACGGATATCGAAATCTTCATACAGATCCCTAACGTTTTTTAAATATATAATCAGGGACAATGTAAGATTCTAATGTTCAAATAAAAATTCAAATCTATTCAGTAATTTCGGAACCTATTCAATACAAACAAACAATCTTTCTTTAGAGTTAGTATAGATTAATCTTTCTTTTTTCAACTATGAAAAACCTCCGAGATATTTACCAATAGTTTGTTGTCAACTGTCTTGACGACGATTTCTTCCGGCGTGTACTGACTGACGTCGAAACGCAGCTTCAGAGATTTGCCATCGCCTTCATCCTGGATCAGAGGCGAGTTGAGACTGTCCCAATGGCTGGGCTCAGCCAGTTGTCTGCTATCGCTGTGTTGTGTGGATGTCGTCGAGCTGAAGAATACGACAAAAGATATATTAGAAGAACATCTCTTGACGACAAATAAATTTAGTAATTAGTACCGGTGCCTGAAGATTTGTTAACTCAGAATACGTGTGACCTTTACAAAGATTAGATTCCCATTTCATATTCCGTTTATTAACAGCTGTGCTAGGATTTAATGACAATACTTAGTAGTGACCATTTTGTACCCGTGATGATATAAAATATTAAAACAGATAAAAATTATCTACAAACTACTTACAAGTATGTAAGTTTTGTTGTACGAATCTCTTAACATGCGAGTCATTTCGTGGCAAGTTTCTAAGTAAAAGATAATGTTTCGTTAACATGCTCATTTGTCATTTAAATGTATTCAACCGTATATTTTAGTACCGTAACTTATTATCATACGTCCAGAGTGCGAGGTCTCTCCATAGACAATAACTACATTAGCAATCCAATGTTATTTTGAATTTCACTATACAGTATGTGGTTACAACGTGGATCACATTGAAAGTTTTTAGAAAATAAATATTTGCTCAAAGTGGGAATAGATTTATCCTTTATTTAATGTTTTATGTTTTTATCTCATCCAGCGAATCTACGGGGTTTATTACGCTAATAAGCTAACAATAAGTAATAGGAATCGGAATTTATAATTAATTTTTGAAAACTTAGTGGCATTATGCCCTGTCGACATTCGATAGATGTTTTATGATTTCGACTCCCATTTTCAAATATTCAAGTATTAGTCATGTATTGTCAAGCTCGAGTTCGTGGAAGCGTTTTCATGGCAACAAAAGCTCCCTTTTCGAGAATGCTACTGTGGAATTTGTTGAAAACAATTGCTAATCAAGGGCGGATCTAGAGGGTTGTGGAGTCATAACCTTCCCTGCCCCCTACTCGTAATGCTAATGAACGAATGACGTGGAGGTCATTCACTTCTTCTGACCTGAAGGATGGAGCTGCTTCTGCTGCACAATACATACAGCATTCCAAAATGTTCTATTTTTAGATATATAGGAGTGTGGCGACTGATACATAGCGACATCTAACTCATCGCACTAACATCGCCACAACAATCCATAGCGAGAAGACTCGCATCGTCACAGAACCTACATCGGTTGGACCGCGGTCCCCGGGCTAACAACACCTAGCTCGGAAAGAGACAATTATCCTTTTGTCTTCCTGTAGGGACCACACATTCAACCCTGAGGTGCCTAAAGAAGCTTTTTTTTTTATATATGACGATGTGTCTAGACTTTAGACACATCGTTCGCAAGAGAAGTACCTCTAGACTGTAGAGGACCTCTAGACTCTAGAGGTACTTCTCTTGCAAAAATTTGTTTTTCGTTTACGACAAATTGTAGAGTAGACAGAGCAGAATACCCGGTTCTGGCCACTTTAAGGTATTCTATTATATCTAATGCATATACAAATATGTTCCTTTGAATGGCCATGAATGGTTTTTAAAATGTTGCGGTATTGCATAAATTATGCTATATTTTCTTTGTTCGACTCATACATGCCTAAGCTTGCTTTAATATCGTCGTTTTTAGTACCTACACTCTTCTGTAACATCCCGAACTGCAGAACACCTAAATTAATTTACAGTTCCAAAAAATTTCAATGTCATCCTGGTATTTTGTATGTTAAATACGTACACATGACCGAATAGCCGACAACATGCAAAACAATGGACACAATGTTGACGATGCAATAAAATTTCAACTGTTCGCATTATATATAGAAGCGTAGATAGGTATTGGATATATTATCTAGCATTGTCTGATCTATGAATTTCAAACATTAAAGCGTATAAGCAATTAATTAGATAGTTTTCACGACCTTCATTCTTTTGAAACAATTTAATTATGTAACCACTTTTATTTAGTGTGCAAGCAAATTGAGATCCATGTCATGACCTATTCATGTATTACGTATTACTATTCCGACGTAGATTGATCTCTGCAAGACGTTTCTCGTTCTGGTCAACGTAGGATATATTATTTCTATCATCTATTTGTTTTCCCATGAGGAGGTTCTATGTTCGACTGCATGTTTTTGTATATGTATGCTTTACTAACGTCTCCAAAGATTATAGACCGTTATCGAATACGTTAAAGGAGGATGAATTAATTTCGTCATCATCAGCCGTAAGACGCCTATTTTAATTATTTCTTCCACCAATAAAGTAAAGAGATTTAAAAAGGCTTTAAATACTTTAGCTGAGCTACTCTCTAACTAAATCTGTTTCTGCTAGCGCTACCATAGATTAGGTATATCCCGGGAACGTGAAACCTTAGTAATTTCATAACAAATTATGTTGCTATGTATGTTAGTTATTGATCCAGAGTTTTTAACAGACCGCTGGCTGTTAAGAAAAATAAATAAAAAATTCATGGAACTAAGAGGTTTTCAAAAAAAAATATTCAGGCACCACTGAATAACCTTAGGAAATTCACAAACGGCTGCATAATATTGACCGAAGTTTCACGGGTATTTTCTTAACACGTGATGTGTTAGATCGGTGTGTTATGCAATATAATCATTCACAGACCCGCCGCGTGACCAAGAATTTGACTGTAATATTACGTGAATAGCTATGTGTATACATTAGTATATACAGTCTCATTAATTACGTAGATCGATTTATATTAAGCAACCAACGTGATGCCATTTTTTTCGTAATATTTCTTATTTCGCGATTGATTATCATTCGCACAATACTGATGTCACGCCCCTGTATGCAGATACAAGGCCAATGTCAACAAAATGAGCTCATCGATATTAGAGTAGGTAGCTATAATAAATGAACAGCCTTGTTAACAATTATTTATCCGTGTCATAGTAGTGAACATTAAACGTCTAAAAATCTAGCAATTTCAATAATGCGCTGTTGAAGTTATTTAATTAAATACTAGAATTCCGTCAGCGGCTTGCCCGCGTGGCCCTGTATTATACAAATAAACTTTTATCTTGATGAAAACCCCATTATTACTTTTTTTTGTAGTTTTAAAGCTTTAGCGTACAAACAACGGGAAGCGACTTTGTTTTATTATGTTAAAGATAGAGGCAGACTTTTCTCAAAACGAGTTGAAAATTCATCTGGCAAAGAATACTTAATTATTCAGAGGCCATAAAAAAAAGATTTTCGGTAAAAATAATTCGACGCTCACTAGGAAAAAATCTCAGCCGAAGAATTCCAAAATTTTTGCAGTGAATGCCTTATTAATCACAACAATATAGAGAAGAAAGTTGAATAATTAAACTCATTTTAGTGTTGACGCTAAAAATGTCTCACGGTTAAAATAAATTGGCATCACGTTGAAACAGTTTTGCTTGCAGTTCATTGCATTTTCTTTATTGCCTACAATTTGTTCAAAACATATTTCTCGTGAAATCTCGAGTTTATTACATTGCCAGATAATTTAAATTCCTTTATGTTGGCTTTAATGTCAGCTACCGTAGATACGGGACAGGTATCGTAAACAATCGCACTTTATTTTGCTTTATATTCATGTAAATAAAAAAAAAACACACGCTGTTTATGTGTATTTTGTTTTCCTTGAGATTTTGCGCTATATCAAAAGAACTAAAAGAATTTCTAACAGAAGTTAAAAAGAAATTTCTATTTTTATACAAACAGTAGGTATAAAATATGATTTCTATAATTTTAAATGAAAAACTATCAGAGATTACTTAGTTTTATCGGACTACAAAATTTAAAAACTTATTTACATCCAATTTCACGTGAAATGTATTTTCAAATAATTATTATCTAAATTATTTTCAAATGTGTGTTAATTACACAAAGTATAGGTACCATAGGTACTCGAATGTTAAATAGAAGAAAATAAATGAAAGTTATCGAAATAACAATACGACAAAACTAAACAAATACTACAAGACAAATAGGTCTAAAATGTTGCTACACAGATACATATACATACATGCAACATACATTTTTATGGTGAGTTGTCTCATAAGTTTACCTTTCCGATGACTTGGTTACTCCTCCGGAGGAAACAGTTTCGAAATTGTAAGACATGCAAAAAGCAATATATATTGTTAGTTTATCAAGCTCCAGACTTTTTTTTTACAAATTTATGAAAGACGTAAATTATGCAAGGATATGAAAGTGAAAAAAATATCACACAATTAAAATAAAACTTGAAACATGACAAGAATTAGGTACTTCATTAGTTACCTATGCAAATATTAATTTACATACGTTTTAAAGGACATTTATTGAATCTAACTTTTTCTTATTGCATAGGTACTTAACTGACTTTATCAATAGGTGACAATGAAACAGAAAAATATTATACATACCTACCTACCTCGTAAAAATAAATATAATAATTAAATATTTTTATGAGTGCTTGATAGTGGAATTACATAAACATACTTATCTATATGAATATGATCCTTAATTAAATTAAATATAGCTCTATCTATACCGAGGTATTGTAGTCTTATGACAATAATTTGTACAGTAACAGATGACGTTAATGGTTTTAAAACAGAAACGTCTTGTTAGATCTATTGTCTGAATATTTATACCGAATATGTACAATCAGAATAACTTGGTCGTTACCTAAACAAGATCAACCCACACAATTATGAATGGCTTGCATGAGTATAGGCGGACCAGTCGCCTTATGCCCACACTTGAATTACTGAGCAAGAAACTAAATATATTCGGTGACAACATCCATTGACGCCTGTTTACTTGATTCGTCCTTCAGTGCGAAATGGTGTTGAGTCGTTCAAACCGCGACATAACATTGACCGACCGGGCGCCAACTTATTTGACTTTTATACTAACCAACAGCTCACTGCCTACATGAGTTAGCAAGGTATTGCATCATAACATAATGTACTAGTTTCTGAAACACCAACTCGCTCCAACTAGGTCATGTATATGAATTGTAAACATAACTTCAGGGCGTCTGTGCGGACTCCAAACCTGCCTGCATACCTACGCAAAGCGACGGGTTGATAAAATAATCATAAACCTGTTTAGACCGAAACGCATAATTTTCAGAACTGGATTATATTACAATACTCGTGCAACCCACATTAGAATTGCAAAACGAATGTTACCAATCGAATTCTTAAGCCGACTCTTAATGATTGTTTCCGTAGTTAATTTTTGCATACGAGGACATTAATCAACGGATATTGTGTAAAGCAATAAGTACCGACATTGTGTTTACAATATCACACATTCTTGTAATTTAACAACAAACGTTCGCTTGCAGAGCCGGCGCTGCGGCCGCTATTTTTATTTATGACATCATCCCGCGTCGGGCTTACGTATCGCTGCACGCTTTAAATGGACGCGGCTGAGATGTCTGCAGTGGATGCCGTTCCGCAGAATGATCCCGAATAATGGCTTTTGAATTTAAAACTTTCGTATGAGCGTCGAGGTCGTCCAATGTAGGCGACACTCTTACGAAACACCCACTCATTAATTCAAGATTCCCTTTTTGGAAAATGCCGGTACCGGATCAGCAACGTAATCGCGGCGATTGGAATAATAATGAAACTTGTTCGTACGAAAACGTTCAATGTTTCGACAGTATTGAAGGCTGTAATCGATAAAACAAAAGCTGGTTGAGTGCCTTATTAAAAAATTCATAGCACAGCTTGTAAGTAGGTATATCAAATAAACTGAATTTATTTCCTTCCTTGACTTAAAAGTCCTCTTGTGTAAGTAGAACTAAACCATTAGTAATAAAACAAAATCATTAGTAATATTTACATAGGTTTTTGTTTGTTTATCTAGGTTTAAATAAATACCTTGTTGTGCTCTTGAAGAAGTTATTGCTTTCTCTATTCATGAGTTCTGATCTGAATTTGCTCATCTCCTCTTCCATCTTCCTCATCTCGGCGTCGAACCTTTCTCTAATACTCGAGAACTCGGTGTCGATAACAGAAAAATCACCAAGCTTGATGGGGATGTTTCTCTTAAGACCACTATCAGCCATTTTCACGTGTGTCGTAGGAACTGCTGAAACTAAACAAACACTGGCAGGATCGTTTCTTCTGTAAACACAATTCACTGTGTTGTAACGCACTTGGCAGACAGAGCAGCACTGATCATTAGTTGTCGACTCGGCGCCAAGGGGCCTGCGCACAGTTTTAAATAGCCTCACGTTCGAACGCTGTCAGAGACTCGTTCGGCGTCACTCGGCCCACTCTTTGCTTCTCGCTCATTCCAAGCCGATTATCACCGCCGAGATGCTAGTGCCTCGCGCACGACGCCGATGCCGGTACACACCACGTAATTTAATTGATGAATCATTTCACTGAATACCATTTCTGCTTATGGTGATCAACATCATCCTAATACTAGTGTGTTATTCATTGCGATATTTTTGTTGTTACTTTGGTGTTGTATTTATCGTTGTACCAATACATCATTGTCTGCGGGGGTGGTTATTTCATGAAAACATGCAAGCAACTTCAGAAAACTTCAAAACTCTTGTTTGATTGAAACAAATGACACAGTCGCGTTGTCATATGAAATAATGATTTAAAAAACAGCTGCCTTGTTATTATTTGATTTTTAAAAAGTAATACTGTAAAATTCTCATAACCTAGTAACTGATTTTTTTTACAGACGTGCAATTCCTACAACACTGGGAATTCGCAATATGAAACTTAAAAAAAAATTTTTTTTCATCATAATATTTATTGCTTGTTTACTCATATCGATACACACTATATAAGCTTTTAATCTCTTAAAATATTTGTTTTCAAACTGGAATTCACGACTGTTTCATCTTCAGACAGGATTGACGGGAAACCTTGGATACGATGACTCAATAGACACGCATTCAACAAAAAAGTGCCAAGTAATAAGTCAAGATTCACAATGTTATGGTCATTAATCGTCTATAAAGATCATTCCTATAGTCATTTTCGGTACAGGTAGACTAACTAAATGGAGCTTATTTAAATAATTTGCGTTAACGAATTATTCATTTTATGGATAAAGAAATCGCAAAATATGCCCTGTATAACTAAAACAAATTCTTTACATTTTATTTGTTCACAATTATCAAATTTTGTTAAATTGCAATGAAACAATGCTCTTGCGAATCTCAAATAATATTAGTATTTATAAATTTATATCTTTTGGCTTTTGTTTCAATTTCCAGAATTAATTAAATATTCATTCGAATGGAGATCTCTGGGGGAGGCCTATGCCCAGCAGTGGGCGTCTCTCGATTGATATGATGATGATGATGATTCGTTCGAATGGCAGGAAACTATTTTGAAGAATTCTTCTCTTAAATTCTTAAATAAAACGATTACATTTAGTTTCAATGAAGATTTGCATCATTCGTCTAAAACAAAATCTGTTATTTACTTACTAAAATTTGATAATCATCTCATTCCTCATACCTACTAAAAAAGTTATTTAAGTGATTAATCAGACGAAAAGGTCATTTGAAAAAGATGTTTCAGTGACTAATTAATTTTCTCATCAAATGAATGTTGAAACCCTAAACACTGACGTCCGCTTCATAAGTAGTGTCAGAGTGATCGATCAATATTTCCAAATTTCGACCGAGTTGCACCCTCATGCAAAAGCCATACCCCAATAAGAGTTTTTACTCCACAGAAGAATCCCAGTACTCGGTCGTCGGGTGCTCTCCCTCGCGCCGGAAATTTAACGTTTGAACGCGAACGTCAATGATATTTATAAACGTGAATAATGTAAAAATAGATTAGTAACCATGCCTTCCACGTTAACTTGTATCTTAAAATTACTGGGTATACGTACAACAGTGTTATGTAAATCTGATAAAATCGCGTTTATTGCGTGCAGCTATTCAATTAACATTTGCCTGCATTTGGTTTGCAGTTACAATAAAAAACAATAGTTTATGTTGTTGTTGCCTGCTATAAAAATATTATTTATTGAAATACTTACTTATAATGGTATTTATAGTGGGCGTTTATTTTCAATTCCGCTTTACGATAATACAGGTCTAAGAAATCGAAGATCTCGATACCAATTAAGAGACCTACATATATAATTTGAGACTTAAAAAACTACAACAGAATAAAATTTCTTAGGTAATTAATTTTTATCAAAATTCTTTCTTAACGAACATATTTATATCATGACTAGTAGATAGATAAAGTAGGTACCTTTTTATAATATGTGCGTATATGAAAACTGATGTTAGATGCGAAATAGTCGATAAAAAAGAAACACAAAAACACGGTGCAGGAAAGAACCTTTATTTATTTTTATTTTTTTTTTTATTAAATGTTACCAAAAAATAGGAGCCCAATATTTATTTTTGTTTAGGATGATAATTTATATAAATTTTCAAATTACCAAAAACCAACGATTTCTCTCCATACTGAACTACGAACATGGATTTTATTAATAAAAACGCCTACCCACTCATCTTTAAAGTTTGTGATAACCTCTTTGGAACTGAATGTTTACAGTGTTATGGTCGTGTCTGAAGTTCCTATTATAGCATCCAACAGAACGGAGTCGGAATGTTGATGAAAGCGATAAACTATGAGGTCATTCACACCGGCTATGGGAAGCACGATGCCTCCACAATGTAAAATAGATAAGAGACACCTACTCCACTTTTTGTGACAATTAAAAAAGCTCATCTGACAGCTGAAGCACCAGCTATGAAAATAGAAATAGGTGAATAACCTTTACAAATAAATTTTGCTACGCCGCACGAGCACATGGCAATTTGGCTATAATTTTTTTTTTTAAAGTGTTATTCCAATTTCTATTAGCAATTCGTAAGTAAAAAATGAAAAAAACGAGAGCCCAAAGAAACCGCTTCCAGATGAGGATGTTTAGATCTTAATTAATCTATGGTTATTTCAGTATTGAAAGTAGGATCCCACAAGTTGACGTCATTTTTGATCTGTAAATATGCATTTTACCTACTTATAATGTAGATTTTACCCCCCTCCCTGACACTCCCCCCACCAGAACCGGTCCTGCTGAAAACATTTGGCTAAAATATCCCGTTGTTGGCTGCTTTTTTCAGGGCGGAAACTTGGACTCGATATTTCTAGAGTTTATCTGATACATGTAAGTACGTAAGACGTCATAAGACGTACATTTGAGATGTTATAATTACATTTTTGAGAACTGACGCAACCACTGATCTTATTTTATTCGATTAGAATAGGGATGTTGCCTGGATAAAAAGCTCTAATTAGTTCATCAATCGGATAATAGAAATATATAAGTTGGATAGGTATTTTAACTCAGTGTATCGCCTTTATTTATTGATTACGTATGATGTATGGTGATAAATTAGACATCATCCTTTCACTAAGCGCAGCCGTCTCGCCCTTCATTCCCACATATTTTTAACCGACATCAAAAAAGGTTATCAGTTCAACCTGTTTGTCGGCAAGTAATTTCGCTGTGTGCAAAATTCATATACAAGTAATTGTTCATCTATAAGAGCTTCCAAATATTGTATGTGATTTTTATGTTAACGTTTTCTTTTTGTATTAATTTTAATGACTATTTATTACAGTATTAATATTAAATTACCGTAAGCTAAGATTTTGTGCGTATGTGTATAATTATATTAATTGTGTTGTATGTGGGTACAATTAATGAAAGTAGGTAAACCTTTTGCTCAAATGCACTGTCTGAATTGTTTTCTTTATAATAATTTCTATATGCGGTTGCCTGAAAGATATAGCTTTTTAGCGGTAAGGCCGCCATTTGCTCCACTATTATGTTTGTATGTTTGTCATATATTTATATGCTATACCTACAATAAAAAATATTATTATTTTAATTATTTTTCTTGTAAATACTATACTTGAAGACCAAAGTTTCAGTGTAGAACATATGACGGAGACGTTAATGTCAAGTATTGACAAAAACTGCCATCTTATATTAATGATTTATCTATTTATAGTAAAACAACATTAATAATGAAAATCACTACAATAACGGTTTTTTAGGTAGATACAACTTTTGTAGAAATATTCAATACCTTATACCACTAATTTAACCACCTCCACCACCACCTGAGTGGGTAGCGAAGTGACTGTACTGTTTCACGTCATTGAGCAATAGTTTCCAAATTGGCTAAATCGGATTTAAGCATGGAATTAAGTCACCAACAACACCATAAACGAAAATGGACCTTGGAGCAATAAACTACTTGAAATTTGATTAATTCATCATAGACATGATTCAGTTTAGAGGGAAGGGATCTAGGTAGATGAATCAATAGTGGTAAGACAGACCTGTCTATAAAACAACTACATACTTCATGAGTAATATCAATAGGTCCGTCTAATCGCTTGAAACTTAGTGTCCGTTTACACACACATTCCGTACTGGGTCCGCGTGTAGGCCCTAAAGCGGATCGGTGGTGCTAAACTATAGGTTTCATTCTTAATTTATGAAACTAATCCACCCAGAATTCCGTACTAGGTCCGCGTGTAGAACCACAGCGGATTGGTGATGCTAAATCACAAGTATACCTATCGGACGTAACTAATATCAATCCACAGCATTCCATACTGGCCCGCACGTAGGACCCAAAGCAGATTGGGGGCGCTGAAGAACGAACCCGCTAACCACTGCAGTCTACAACATCGAATGCCTCATTAACATCAAAGTATTATTTTATAGTACCTATAAGAAAACAAGATTGAGTGAGCAGATATGTAGTAGAATCAGGATGTTTTATTCTATCACAGGCTTAGAGAATTTTAGAAAATGTAATATTCTAGATCTCAGGTATCACACTCATGTAAGTAGACAGTTTTATCTCCATACAAATAAAAAGACAACAAATCGAGCTCCGAATTTTAGCAGCACATGAGCTCTAGCGAAATTTACCTCTATTGTAAACTAAGTTCGGATTTGGTGATAGTTTACTACTAACTGTGACCAGCCAGTCACTAGATCAAGGTCACGCTTGTTTTGTCGTACGATGGATGCAGCAGACCGAAACGTTTCAGGGCTGTGCGACCAACAACTCGTTTTCCGCATATTACTGTGATGGAACCCTCACAAGTCTTAGGTTTCTACGATATTTGATATGAGAATTTTAAAGGTTTCACACGGCCGATCACTCAAATGGAAAAAATATTTAGGCCATACAAAAAAGATAGAAATTAACGAGTTTATAAAGACCCTGCATGATTATGACTTGACCAATATAAAAAAGCGGTCAAATATTTCGTTTTATTAAGAAAGTAATAAAAAACCCGTTTGTTGCTTTCCATGGAGTTGTTCAGAATTTTCAGTCTCGTAAACTTGTAAAGCCAACTTAAGTGTGATAGTTTTCTTTTTAATTTCGTTATATGTATATAGGTAATAATAACGTAACGTTTAAGTTTTTACCATATCCGTTCAGTTGGTAGAGGGGGGGACACTTGCCTCTAACAAAGACTGGCTCTTTAAAGCTTAATAAGTCACAAGCGGATAACTAAATCGAAAAACGGCCTTCCCACACACACACAATGTTTTTGATAGACCTATCCAACCCACACTATGGAAAGACGAAAAAAATACCACCCCCACTTAACATGCCCCCTGCATGTATATGTACATATATAGATTCTCGAAATTTTTATTTTCCATAATTTTGCTTTACCATCTTTGAACAATCAAGTTTTTGATCTGGGGCTCTATTTTTGAATCATTCGTCTCGGGTCGAGCGCTCGTTTTCTACTGATTTTCGTTCGACTTAACAAATTCGCCATTTCTAAATCGCTCGACTGCAACGAGTGGTATGAACCACTCGTCGCTTAGCGAACGTTGTATGCGAGTGATAGAAGAAAACGAGCGCTCGACGCGAGACGAATGATTCAAAAATAGAGCCCCTGAACGGACAGACAGACCGTTCTCCGTGTCTGTCTATAGTTTCGCCATGTCTGTCTGAACGGACAGACATGGCGAAACTATAAGAGTTCCTCGTTCGCACCGGAACCCTAAAAATAAGAATAAGGCTTAAAAAGCAAGCCTAGCTTATAGGTTACAGTACTAAAACTATCTAATTATTAAAAAATAAATAATTTAATTCTTTTAATACATGACTGCCCAAATACAACTAAAAATAAAAGAAACAACTTATATTATGACTTGGCTAAACAACAAAATTCTCGTACACTCTTGGGACTTCTTAGATTACAAATGTGCAACAGAACAGAACAGAATCTCCACCGACTCCAATCACTATTTTGTTTAACAATCCCCTAAATCAACTTCTTTTATATTTAGTTAGATTTGGGCAATTGCATGTTTTAATTATTTATTTGTATTGTCTTCCTTTTAAAGAGCTGTTTACTTTGTATATATCTATGTCTTATTATTTTTAGCCCGTGTCACTGTGAATACAAAAAAAATAATTTATTCTCTACAATAACTTAAGGCCACTTTTCACTACACTCATAATACCTACCTAAGAAGGCATAAAAATTTAGAAGTAATTAAAACGTATTAGTTAGCTATGTAAAAGCAAGAATTTTAACTAATACAATTTAACAAAATACAGCCATAGGCTAGATGTGCAAATGTCAAAACATACAATTATTTATTTCAATACAGACTATTAGCACGGAACACTTGTTGGGAGAGTCTGAATTGCATTGGTCCGGTTTATTTCTAATGTAATGAATGACAAAGAATCTATTTAAATAGGTACCGTGTGCTAACCAATTGCGCCGCTGGAGCCCATAATTCGCGCTCCATATGAGTGTTTAAATGTCATGCGAGAGTTCAAAAAAATCTTAATAAAGGGCTACCACTGAAAAGAGAGAATTAGTACCACAAATATTCATTTACAATAAAATCGAAACACAAAAATAGGATATAATATTTTTTTTAATTGTTTCCGCTCTATCTCTCTACAGCTCCCACTCTCAACTTTAATGCGCGTTATCTAAGGAATTCTCGATTAAACTGAAGTAAAAAAAATTCACATATTATTCTATTATCTGACCGACGGACTTAATAAATTTATTTTTTTACCCAGTCATTATCCTTTTGACAGACAGAACCGAATAATCCTTATGTGCATCCCTTTTCTCTACGAAACCCTAAAATAACTCCACCATAAATCAACACTGTTATGTGCTAAAATTACAATTATACGTATATCAATCTAAGATATACATCTAGTTATTTATTAATACGATATAGATACAGTCATATCTTTTAATGACTAAGCATTGTTTTTAATACAATTTGCTTCCTTTACCACCTTTTAAGGATAAAAGATTGTCATGCTCTGCTATAAGAAATGTAGGCGTAACTAAAACATGCTTACCACCTCGGTGACGCCTCTGTAATTCGATGTAGGCAGATACACTTTACATGCTCTTTAGCAGGTACTATGGAATTAATCATACAACTTATACAACCACAAGTGTGGGTACTCATAATCTAAGGGGTACTCCTATTTTTCAGACTCGTAGATTTATGATTACTCTATGACTGTCTATTAAAGTAAGAATTCCTATTTTGAATCATATTTCATATATTTATGAGTGACTAGTTGTTTTTCCGCGACTTTGCATGCGTAAATAAACCCTGTGTATGCTGTATGTACCTGTAAGCGAAATAATTTTACAAATCGGTCCAGTATTTTTGGAGCCTATTCAATGTAAACAATGAAATCCATCTTCTTTATAATAGTAGTTATGTGTTGGCTTAGTTATGTGTAGATGAAAAGAGAGAAAACTTATATATATTTTCGAAAAACTAAAACTGAAATTGTATTACTTAGAAATAACACTTATTTTCTTCAATGACATATGTTATATTATTAACTTAAATTATTCTTTATTATTTTGATGTAAAAACAAAATTGCTGATTTGATTTTGATGAACATTTTGTAATTCTTATTTTTGGGTTTTTAGATTCGGATCATATTTTTAAAGAATATGAATTTTTTTTGTTCAATAATATAATACAAAATTATGAATACATATATTTATTATTCCTTATGTAATACAAAACAACTAAGGCAATAATTGATAAGTGGTAAGAGGTATGAATACAAATTGGCATCATTAATTCGTCATTCTGGCAAACTAAACAGTTTATAACTGTAGTAAAAATATTGTTGGTCCCATCATTCTGATGACTATTTGAAAAAAAAATGCTACAAATTCATCACAAATATTTAACATGCTTGCCTGTGCGGGCTATATAAAATAGAATAGACCAATACCTTCACCTTCCCCCAAATGTTCACATATGTCCTTACTAATAAGCAAAGTGCAAACATTGATAGTCAGTATGATCAATTTTCACTCAAACTGAAGTTTGATTTCATTTAATTTAAAATCTGTTAAATACTGTTTATAATGTTAATACTGCTAACAAATTGCTTATTAATAAGGGTATAAATGTGTTATTATATAAGGTTAAATTACATAGCCATTTCAAACTTGATATAATCTAAAACTAAAATGTGCTTTAAGTTATCTTATGAAAGAAAATTAAGCTGTTAAATTTTGCAACATTTATATAAACTTTATACAATATAAATTTTTAATGTTAAACAATAAATATTAGTTGTGATAAGCAGATAATTTTCAATAAATATTTGATAAATGTTGATACACACAATGGCCATTGTTTAAGCTTTGTGGGTTTTTTTTTATTAACACAACTTATTATTAATCTATACAATTGTTGGCCACTTTTTGGATTTATACACTGGTAAATACAGTAAAGGACACTTTGTAAACTAGGTACATTCATTAACAATACAATAACTCCGTAACTACATAATCACATTAAATTTTTATAAAAATATATTAGTCACCATTATGTAGATAGGTAGTTGTAAAACTCTTAACATTAGTTTTTGTAGATTTATCAAAATTTCAAATGAGTTTTCATGTACAAATATGTGCGTTTATAATCTCAATTACAAAAATAACGTCTTATATAAATATTTCAGTCGTATTTAGGTAGGTCTGAAATGTAAGGATAATATATGAACGTCAAACATCCATTATCAAGTTTGAAACTTTATAGATGATGAAGTCAATATAAGTTTCGCAAGATTATCGACCAGAATTGGTAGGAGCCTCAGTCACTGGTGGTGGAGCGGGAGCAGAGTTCCCTGAAGGAATCGCATAAACTAAGATGATGATGAGCAGTATTAAACCAATAACACCGATTATTATCATCATTTTCAAATTTTGCCACCAATACTTCCTCTTCAGTTTTCCAGCTTGCTGCTCGAATTGGGCAGCTCCGTGCTGCAAAGCATCAGCACGATTGTCTAGCTCTGATAACTTTTGATCTCTCTCTAAAACTTTCTCGACGTTGACACGCATAATGCCGACGACTTCATCAACTTTAGCCTGAGTTTGAGCTAACCGCTTATCGCTTACCCTTGGGGCAGAGCTTCCACTTTGTTCTTCCATTTTTAAAAATTATTTCCAACTATAGCCGCAATCTTAATATTGTAAATAATGAATCAAACAAAGAAAAATTAACACACATAAATAATGGCGATTCTTAATGAATGAATGACACATAACCACATGACGTCATTCATTTAGTCTATGGCCATTGTCTATGTTTTTTTTTTAATAATGTAGGTGTCGTGATGTCAAGAATATCCTATTAGGGTATTTAACAACATTAAAAATTGTGGTCATTCTATATGATCATAGCGTTATAAAGTTATAATACATATTTCACTTTATTAACAAAATGAATAATTTTTGCAGAGCACACAAATAACATCAAACATTTTTTGACATTTTATCTAAGAAGAAAACACCTTGTAAATTATTGACTTCGATGACGTAACATACTTGTAAATATAACTGATTTGAATATGATGAGGTTTGTTTATTTATTTGCTTGTGACATCATACACGGCGTAATTTTTTTGGTATAAGAAATTTAATATTTAACTTTGATTTTTCTTGATAAATACAGTCAATTTCTCCAATATATTAATTTGATGTGCTTATTATGTAATAAAGAATAATTTGAAACTGTTTTAAAAAAATATTCAAATACACTATTACCTGCAGATCGTAGAAAATTTTTAATGACGGTCGACCAAAGAGAATAGAATAGGGATGATGACTGGGTAAATAAAAAGCAATTTTGTTTTGTCCGTCAGTCAGATAATAGAAAAATATTAGATACGATTTTTTTTTACTTCAATTTAACAAGAAATAGCTTAGATAACAGGCATTAAAGTTGAGGAGTGGGGGCTCGCTACGTCACAGTTGAGTAGAAAACGTACTCTAACATGACGTCATGCGAAATTTCAACTCCATGTAACGCCGTAATTTTATGATTACGAAAAAATACGTGTTTAATATTTTTTAACACTCTACCTGACGGACAAACAAACAAAAATTTGTCATCATCCCTATTGTCAGTGTTGCTATGAATTTGATAACTCGGATAAAACTTGAGTTGAAATTCAATAGAGTATTAGAATAATAAGTTGCGTACTGTTTGATAATAATAACAAAGTTTATTTCTTAGAACCCGCAGATAAATATATTTTTGTATTTGTACTGATTGATATCAGATTCAAACTGCAAATTTCAGTTTTTAATGTGTTGTAGTTGAAAGGAATGGAAATGACTATCTTTGGTCCATTTGTTTCCTGCAAAAATCAACTTTTAGTAGAGTCGCCATCTAGTGAGGTGCTTTTTTTATGGTGCTTTCTTATTTTTTAAATACCTCCTCATTAGAATATATTATAGATATAATACTATGATTGTGCCTTAAAACCATAGATACTTTAACTTGGATCATACACTCTGGAACTCTAAAAAGTAATCTTTGCATATTACTCTTTAGTCTTTGATTTCACGGTGCGTGAGTGTGATTTTGTGATAGTACACTAATTCTTATTTCTATATTATTTTTGTGAAATAAGATAACAAGACACAAAATGGTAAGTTTCTATAGAATTTTTGCAACAAAATTTTCTTATTACAGCTATACAATTTCTTTGGGTGACAAAAAACTAAATATAATTTCCGAAAATTCAAACCGATGTTCATACATGCACATGTGACTATTCAAGTTGAATTAAAATTATTGCAGGTTTCTCTGAACCCCATTCGAATTTTGAAAAATGAAGCAGAAGAAGAGAAGGCCGAAGTTGCTCGTATGTCGAGTTTTATTGGAGCCATTGCTATTGGCGATTTAGTAAAGAGTACTTTAGGCCCGAAAGGAATGGATAAAATTTTGGTATCTAGTGGTAGGAATGCTGGCCAGGTTTGTCTTATTGTCTTTTTATTATGGTATAAAAGCATTTTTTGAAAATAAAATTACTTTTTAGCCTGTAGTTTCACTAAAAAAAAAAGTAATTATAACCTCTCAATATAAGACTAATCATACACTCCCTGTGGGTGCGATTTTGTAGGCTTTGATTTATCCTTACGTCGATTTTAAAACTTGGGTTTAAAAAGACAGTATTTAGATGGGCCTAGAATGCATTGCTTTGTAAATATATTAATATGCAAACAGTATAGGGTCTATGTATATGTATTTTAAAATTCACCAAAAACATGTCTTTATAAATGTTGTTTATGCACCCATTAAAGAGGAGGAGTAAGCTATAGAATGTAGAGATGTTTATTTATTGCACAACAATGTCTCTCTCACTACGGGATGTTGGCAAAATTTCCGTGTATAACGGAACAAGTCCATACTGAAAAAAAAAAAAAAAAACAACATAATTATCCAGCGTGATTGTGCAAGCAATTAATACAGGCAAGGATTTATTGTAGATAATTATGACTTCAAAAGAGCTTTAAATTTTCACTTTTGTTAAGCTTTTTTGCAAGTTTTGTTTATTTTTTCTTTCATATAATTGTTTAAACTTCTATATCTTTAAAACTGATTTAGTTGATTAATTACTTCATTGCTCAGTAGAGAAATTCCAAGTATTCCATTTTTTTCTGAGTGACCTGAAATATCTCAAGACCGATTGCCTCAGTCAAGAGTATGGTTCACAACTATAAGTCATGATCAGAAGAATGTTCTGGTTGCAAACCCTACTAGGGTAATACTAATACTAATAGTAATAGTTTGAATATGAGACATAATTCCCAGAAATTACCCACTTGAGATATATTTCATTAAACAGTGACTGCATATACAGCAAGTTAAACATCTCGTTTTAGGCTTGTACTTGTTAAAGCTTGTACGTGTAGTCATTGCTGGATCATAATACTATGGGTGTTATAAAAAATACTTTAATAAAAATCATTAAGTGAGAGCGACACAGATTCAACATGTTAGTAAAAAGAGTCTGTTTCGTGTCTCGGGTACTTGAAACAACATCACAAAACTTAACCCATTTTGCTTAAGGCTTAAAATTAGATTGTTACTTGTTTTAAGGTGATCTCTTCACTATTGTAGGTAGAAGTTACAAATGATGGAGCAACTATATTAAAGTCTATTGGAATTGACAATCCTGCTGCAAAAATTTTAGTTGACATGTCAAAGGTTCAAGATGATGAAGTTGGCGATGGAACAACCTCTGTCACTGTATTAGGTACAAACATTACATTATTTTATAAAATATAAGTGAATGTTAAAAACGCACTTAATATTTATTTTGTTTTCTAGTTTTTAAATAGCTCTTTATTAAGTTTTCCGCCAGCGGCTTCATTATGGCGTGGTTCTATACTATCCATGGAAACTTCCTTTTGTATCAGTCTATAAATTAATGAGAACAGCATGAAAATCCATTGTGTAGGGTAAATGATCTCAGCACACACTGTGGAGAAAATTTCGTTTTATATTATGGAATAAATAATCTTGATTTTAATACTTTTAGCTGCTGAACTACTGCGTGAGGCAGAGAAGTTGATCGAGCAGAAGTTACACCCACAGACAATTATAGCTGGGTGGCGTTTATCTGTAGAAGCTGCAAAGCAAGCCCTTGCAGAAGCGAGTTTTGATCATGAAAAAAATTTTAATAAGGCTGCGTTACGAGCTGATCTAGAAAACATTGCACGCACAACATTGAGCTCAAAAATTTTATCCAATCACAAAGAGTGAGTTATGGCTTAAACATACATATTTTATGTTTTTTGTGTTACTGGATTAGTAGTGTACAAATAGTTAATAATACTTTTTTGTTTATTACAGACATTTTACAAAGTTGGCAGTTGATGCTGTTCTGCGGCTTAAGGGTTCTGGCAACTTAAAGGCTATTCAAATTATCAAAATCTCTGGTGGGGTACTTGAAGAATCATTCCTGGATGAAGGATTTTTATTAAATAAAAAGGTATAAAAAATATTGCCTTAATTTTTTATGGTGAAAGCAATGTTATTTAATTTCAAAAAATTAATTTGGTAAGATTCTACAAACTGGCTGTGATGAAAGGACATATTTTTCTTCTGTGAAAACAACTGGTTAAAGAATTTAATTGGATAACATATAAAAAAATACAAGAAACTTCAAACTGGATAACTTTCTAATTACAGGTGGGTTTACATCAACCTAAACGCATTGAGAATGCTAATATTCTGATTGCTAATACACCTATGGACACAGATAAAATTAAAGTGTTTGGCTCTACTATCAAGGTAGATTCTATGGCCAAAATTGCAGAACTTGAAGTAGCAGAGAAGGAAAAAATGAAAGACAAAGTAAACAAGATCTTGGCTCATAAATGCAATGTTTTTATTAATAGGTAAATGTTTATATATTTAGTCTCAATAGAATGGCTTAATAGAACTCTAATTTCATAAAAGTATATTTAGTAAGGGAAGAAGGATGACTAATTTTAGTTATATTAATAAATTAATAAATTATGGCTATACATTGAGCTGAATTGTCGCATGATGTTGGACCTTTGTACATTTTCTTTTTATGTCTGGTGTAGCAAGCCCCCTCCTTAACATTAATGCTTATTATCAATGCCATTTCTTATTAAATTTAACCAAAAAAATATGTATCAAATATTTTTCTATTTTCTGAAAGAATTACTAAATGTGACATTATCAGCATGAAGGGACCTTATTGTTGATATGGACTTATTATTATTGCATACAATTACCTATATAACTGTATATATACCTATATCTTGTATGTTATACATACCGTAAAACAAATTTGAAAAGTCATTGGTTGGAAAAGGTGATATTGAGAAAATTCAATTTAAAATTCTTGTGCATTTTACTAAGTTTGAAAGTTGGTTGCCTATAATAAAAACTTTCTAAATGGGAAAAATGTTACAAACTATTGAAAGATATTTTTTACTGGATCAGCTTGTTATAGTTTTATAATATAAAATTTGATGCAGACAATAATTATACTATATAGAACTAAAATAAATTAAAAACAGAATTTAGTCAACATTATTTTTTTTTAAACTTTTACTTTTATCTGGATTGATTAGTAACTGTCAAATACTACAGTCGAAATCAACACGTTATGCCAAATTTAAACAATTCAATTGTGATCAAATTAGCCTTATAATCAACATTATATTATTTATCACTTAAAACTAAATGTGAATTTTAGTTATGTTTTGTTCATATATTTTCTAAAACAAACATTTAGTGATGTCATTATAAAATTTCACAAAAATGCTAATAAACACGTAATTTGGCTCTAAAAAGGCATCTTAAACATATGAAAAATCATGGACGAGAGTTTTCTGATTGGCATTTTTTACAAAATTAGTTTCTTCTTCTATATATGGCTTGTCTCGCCGCAGTCGAAATTTCTTCTTAAAAGCCCGAAACACATATCTGGTGCGAATTTGGCGTGTCCGATAGGCAAGAATGATGACACCTGAAATATTATGCGTTTGTCCATTATCCGCATGATTAATTACGTCTATCTCTCCTAAACCAAAATTAACAAAAAAGTGCTGAAGTAATGAAATTACTTGAACCCTTTCCCACAACACATGAATTGGGAATAACGCATAGAACGATTTTTTGTAGAGGGCCGACGACAACATTCCTTTGATAACGTCACTAATATAATTTCTTGTTTTAGTAAACAGTCAACATATTTAATTTTAATTGTTTCGCTTAAATTTAAATTTTCCAGACAACTTATATACAACTACCCTGAACAACTGTTTGCGGATGCTGGGGTAATGGCCATTGAGCATGCAGATTTTGATGGCATTGAAAGACTTGCTCTTGTTACTGGTGGAGAGATTGTTTCTACATTTGATACACCAGAAAAAGTCAAACTTGGACATTGTAAGCTAATTGAGCAGGTAAATAAAAACAAGCATATTTTCACACATTTTTTAGTAAATTATACCGTGTGTATTAAAGCTTTGGAATTTTCCTTTACCACTTCTTTATCTCATTTTCTTTTCTTTTTTTTCAATCAGGTACTGATTGGAGATGAATGTTTAATTCGATTTTCTGGCGTTGAGTTGGGTTCGGCTTGTACTATAGTCATTCGTGGTGCCACACAGCAAGTGATTGATGAGGCTGAGCGATCATTACATGATGCCCTATGCGTGCTTGCTGCTACTGTTAAAGAGCCTAAAATCATTTATGGTGGAGGTAAGTTGTAAATTTATTTATATTTTCATATTATTATCTGCGTTTACAATAAATATCTTTACTATCCAAAAGAAAGGCCTAAACTCCGAGCTGTGATTACAATAAATATCAAGATATACAAGAACCTGGTTCCTGAATTGCGAATTTAAATTTGAACATGTTACAAACTGTACTTAAGCTGTTTTAAATGTCTCTTAATAAGGTTTTAGTTACTGATTTTAATTATTTAAATGTCAGATGATAGCAGTTTGATAAAACTTAAATGCCCTAGTTTTATCTCTCTCCTTGTGAAACGTAAAAAACTTAATTATTGAGAATAATCAGTTGAGATTTTGTACTTTTTTCAATTCAAAATTGTGTGGGGCGGTAGCGCTAATTGTGTACAACCTTATTTATTTCTATATAAATATAGATATATAAATATACTCTAAACAATATTTATTACTCAAGAATAGCTAGGCTGAACTATGCTGGGGGTTGAGCGTCCCGGCGACTCGGTCACGGTCATCCCGGGTCTCATCCCCAGGGGAGGGTACACCGTAGGGGTTTTTATGGGTAGGCCTTCGGGAGGCACCGCGCGGCTAGCCGCGGGGTAGGCTCACGTAGGAGAGTCCAGGCAAGCGAAGGGGGGTGCCCCTTCGCTTGCCTGGCGGCAGGGGTAGCGCCTAATGCATTTCCTCGACGTTCGAAAAAAAAAATCAATGCTTGTAATTAAAAAAAAAAATTAAAACAAATTAGAGACATGGTTTTCTAGGTTTTTACAGTTGTTATGCATGATGTGATGAGCAAAGATAATTGAGGTTATCTATGAATTTTGGGAGAGTGCCTAAATTACTAATATTTAATAAAAGTGAAGCCATAGATGAGCTTAGTTTACTTAACAATATTTGTTAATTCCAAACCGAGACGAAGGCAGCTTGTGTATTATAAATGAATGTGTTTTTAGGTGCTAGTGAAATGCTAATGGCGGAGGCGGTTTCCCGTGTAGCGGCTCGTACGCCTGGAAAGGAGGCTGCGGCAGCCGAAGCTTTCGCTATTGCTCTACGACGCCTGCCATCGGCCGTAGCAGATAACGCTGGCTACGATAGCGCCGATTTAATCTCTAGGTTACGAGCCAGTCATGCTCAGGGCGAAACCACAATGGGCCTGGGTAAGTTGTGATATAGTTTATGTATGCCAGTCTTGTGAAAGGACTGTCACTTTGACTCCCCTTTCCCCCCATGCTTTATTTTTTTTAAGGCTAACAAAGGCAAAGTCAGCCTTACGTTCTTAACGAGATCTGCTCGCTACTCTCCAGTGTTGTTTAAAAAAAACAGAATCCCAGGGAAAATGTGTTTTTTTCTCCCTACCCAGTGGTATAAAATAAACTACCTAAAATTAACTTACTTACCGAGGTAATATATTTTTATGAAGAAAGAAAAGTTCAGAAAAAAATAAGCACATTCATACTAATTTTTTTTTACTTTAGGGTATATCTCGAAAAGTACCCTAAAATCGGGTAAAGTTCCAGCACGTGAAACAATTGGTAAAAATGTATAGTTCAACGTCAAAGTCTCAGTTTTGCTAAGTAGACAAAAATTAGTAAGAAATTCTAATGTTGACTTTTGTCACTTGATTATTTCATCAGATCATAAAACCGACAAATTACCATCACCTATTATTGGCTCAAAATCGGCTTAATTCACGACTCCTGATTTCCGTTGTCTTAGCCTTCAAAATTAGATTTGTTATGTATGACTATTTGATCTGTTAACTCAAATAATTATTAAACATGATAATGATATAACATAGTTGAATAAGGAACATAACATTATTTGCTATCTGGAGGTGGGTGCTAATGGTCGCACATCAGTTTCTTTTTTTAACTACCGCGACTATTTTCGTATACTATACTTCCAATAAATACATTTTTATTATCCATAATATTATAGATGACCATTAACTTTACAGATATGGAAAACGGTTGTGTTGGTGATATGAAGACACTTGGTATCACAGAATCTTACGTGGTCAAGAGGCAGGTACTCTTGTCGGCTGCTGAAGCTGCCGAGGTGATTCTACGCGTCGATAACATTCTGAAGGCAGCACCTCGCCGACGTGGACCAGACCGCCGTCCATGCTAATTTAATATGACTATCATAACTTATTGTTATAGAAATTGAGCTAAGAAATAATGGCAGGTGTACTGTTAGCATATCTGATGGCCAATTTACTATAAAAGTTGCAAATCTTTAGTTAGTAATTGATTTCCACATCAATATAATCTTACTTTTGCAAAGAGAAGTTGTGGTAAGGCTTAATTTTGTATTAAGTCTTTACGGTTTTGTCGTCAAAGCTTATTTCTTAACAACTTCTTTTTACATTCGCTTTTAATGTTTATTTTAATGTATCTGGCAACAAATAACTGACAACCTTTTATCTCGAGGAAGATTATTAGAGATAGAGTATTATGTTTATTAGATGCAGTATCTTAAGATTTATTTTACAAGTATAAACTCGTTAATTCATTGCCTTACTAGTGTTGCTAGCAAAATTCACATGTGTTGCTAAGACTATTGTGCCCTAATATTTTATCTATATTTAAATAAAAAATAATAACAACAATTTATTTTATTTGAAACACCTTGCAAGATTAATTATTTCTGATTTTTTTACTCTATGAGCAATATTTTATAAAAGTACATTAATTAAGGTCCATGTTGTAATACCATTCGCACGTAAAACTATTGAGTGTGAGTTAAATTTATATCGAAATGATACAGTTTTTGTCTTGGAAAACTGATCCTTATACGGTGGTAAAGAGCTGTACAAATATCAGTACAAAAAAATTATAAGGGCTGCCAAAAAAATATTAAGTGCTTTATGACTTATAAATGATGTACTATCAACCAAAACTAAATATGTCGGGGGACGTTAATTTCAAGCGATGACAGTTGCATTGGTGAGGTAAAACGGCGTAGTGTCTCCGTATTTAGAGTCAAGCTACTTCTATCTAATCTTGTATAGACTCGTATACTAAAACTATACGGCCACATCTCAAGGCGTCTATAAAGTCCATTGTGGACACTACATGAGTGCTCAAAGATGTCCACTGACAGGGATAGCGATTGTCCCGGCGGGCTCCTTGTCGGATCCCGGGTCCTTCCTCTCCCCCTCTCTCGAAGGGTACTTGCAGTGGGTCTAACCAGGTAATCCGGCCTCGCTTAAGCCTGCCGTTTTCAGCGTTTTACGCGTGTGGGGTTGGAGAGCCCTGGTTTAAGGCTTAAGTTTGCATTTTTCCCTGCGTTAAAAAAGGCAGAGATGGCGATAGGTGGGCTACATCGGCCGCTCCAGCAGATACTACGTGTTACCATGACCACTGACAATATGTTAAATGTATACGTTCCTTAAATATGCAGCGAATACAGAAAACGCGAATACGGGATGGCATTTAGTATAGAATAATGAGGATACGTTCAAAAGTTCCTAAATAAAAGCAATATGTAGGGGAAGTCCGGACTTGAACCTCTTTTTACTTGAATTATCATACCTTCGTATAGATTTGTCGTAGAGACTAGATTATAATTATAATTCATATTTAATTTATATACACTTGTTTTTGAATCATTACTTTTTAAAGATTTCAATACTATAAATTGCTAAGCCGATTTGAAGTAAAAATGGGAAATGGATCAACTCTTCCCACTATGAGGGACATATGATCAAAAGTCTGAGGAAACTCATTATCAGGGGTTTTAGTAATTTCTATTTATTTTTTTAGTATCATCTTTCTATTAGAGTCTTGCGTAGTTTTGCTTTCATATATTTATTATTTGGAATTGATACTTATCGTTATTCTCAAAAATTATAAAAACTATTCTTAATGTTATTTGCCTTCTGTTCACTTGTTTTATTAACATTTATAATATTGAATTGAGTGCAAGTAGTATTATGGCAGAAGAATCATCACCACAGATGGTATAATTAACCACTGATGTCTTCAACAAGAACAGTGGTTCAACTCTCCCGCATACATCACTTCGACATAAAATTTTCATTGCAGAAAAGGTATTCGATTACTGTTAAAAAAAAATTAACATACTTCAAACTAGAATAATCAGCAAACACGGTAAAAATAATACACGGCCAGTATCTCAAAACTACTAATTATTTAAAATTTATTTTGTAGTGACCAAAACACTTTTCGCAACTTAAAATAAACAAACCAGGCATTTTGTGCAATAGTGACACATACATTATTGGTCTTCCATACATGGTCTACGACTGTGTTAATGTTTCATTCGCTTGCAATTTACGTTGAATTTTGAGAAGTGGTTCATCTCTCCCATCTGGGCAAGTCTGCCGGACTCCCCCTATGTCAAAATAAATACAATTGAGGTAAGATTATTGAAGAACTTCTAATTAAAATCAATCTTTATTGTCAACTTCAAATAGGGGTTTAAAAAAATATTCATTTCCTTTTTCTAGTTTTTAAAGCTCTTTAATTTCGGAATTATAATTAAGTGAATGTAGCGTTCATAATATAACTTTTTTTAAGTATTTTATGAATGCTACAACGAAGCAAAAATCATAAGGCGTTGTAATAGCCACCCTGACACATGCCCGAAGTATTTAGAAGATGACGATGCGCTAATAAATGACGCTGAATTTCTTTATGTTACCGATTGTATCCGCGAATTCGGTTACAAATTTTGCACCCGCGAATAATGAAGTCGTGAATAAGAGGCTTCTACTGTATTTAATTACATTCGTAAAACAAAAAATATTTATAATAAATACAAATAAAACATTTTAAAATGGCACATTAATCAGTAAAGTTTATTCTTATATTGGTTTTTACAATAAACATGTCAATAGTCATATAAAATTAGCATTTGAAGTATTTCTAAATCATCACTACCTATTGGTAGTGGTAATTTAGAAATACTTACTGGTAAAAGTAAAATTACAGAATTGTTATTGTTAAAATTAAATTAAATATTGTTTCGTGTTTCGAGTGATTGATAGCTAATAGTGAACCCATTAAATTTTAGCTAATGTTCCATTATGCATGTGCGACATGATATCAACTTTGCGGTCGGCAAGTGAAGGCGGTAGGCAGGTACCTATAACGAATGGCACTGCTTTACACTGCATAATTTATATCCCTAGCAGGATTCACTTACATTACTGACAGATTGATTACAGACGTACGTATTTGTAACTACGCCTCCAGTAAGTAGGTAGTCATGATAAAGTTTTTTACCTTTGGTCAGTGAACATCAATAATATACTGTTTAGTCAAAGCTTTTGATAGGGGTCAACTTGAGATGTTGTGTCAGGTTCCTGAGTCGGGTTTCGATTCCGTAATCTATTGCTAACCGGGAGACTGCTCCGCCAGTTGAGTTTCCACTTTAGTGGCTGTTGAGTTTCCCAAGCCTGAATTTGATTCTTTCTCTGCTAGTGTTTCAATTATTGAAAGCATTTTTCATTAAAATAAATCCCATCAAAATCATAACACGTACAAAAATGCGCACTCCTCATAAAGCAATTCTTCTGCCTTAAAGTTATGAAATCAACGGTAAACCAAGTCGATTAATATTTTTTAACGGCAGAAGAATTGCTTTGTGAGACTTGTGCATTTGTGTAAATGTTATGTTTTTAATGGTATCTCATTTCTTTTTGTAGGTAGTTCTCCTTTTTTTTCTTTTCGGGTAATTATACATATCTTGAGCGTCAGGTACTGGCATCAAAGATCAATCACTCTCTGTCTCTATGGACTTTATTAAAAAGGCGTTAATGTATTGGTTTTCGATAATTTTTATGATAATTATACTTGGTGAATGCATTTCAATAAAGTCTATTATGTTCAGAATACAATCAAAGTTGACATTGAATAGATATATACAGTTTAGGGATGTCGTTCTCGAAAGTGCCATATATGCTTCATCATCTTCATCAGCCATTTACATCTACATTGCAGGGACTTAGACCTTCCTTACGGGTGGTTAAAGAGGATGGGCCATGACCCTCTACGCTGGCCCAATGCGGATAGGAGGGTATTAACGACTGCAAATGCAGTCGGGACCAAAGACTTAACGTGCCTTCCGAAGCACGGAGTAGCTCGAGATAATAAATTTCTAATCACCCAAAAGTTGCTTAACAACAACTATCGTTGGCAGTGGTGCTTATCTACTGCGCCACCGAGCTACTCTACATATGCTTGACCGCATTAAATGCCCTTGTCTCTTATGTATCGATCATTATACCTATGGATATATTAACGAAGCCCATTTCATTCCGTTTGTTGGCAGTCCGTTGGTCCTCTCTGTACGCTACATAGATTTATAAATCTACGGCATGCACAATTTTGTCCAAATGTAAATAACTTTTTTTTCGATGATAATAGTTTCCTGAGCATTGATTTTAAAAACGAGTATGTATATTTTATTCATTTAGAAGAAGTAACTATAAAAACAAATAAACTACCTACTTATACGTATGTTTGTTTATACGGGCATTTGTGTGCGTGTATCTGTGTCCATATTGATTAATTCACAATATACAATACCTTTTTTACAAATGTATAATTTCAAAGTTAATATGATAAAAGTGATGAAGTGCATAGTTATAGACCTCAATAACATACGTATATAAATAACGAACAAAGTTGATTTTTAGGGTTCTGTACTATTAAATAGAATCCTTGTAGTATTACTTTGTTGACCGTCTGTCTGCCCTTAAAGATCATTAATTCGAACGGGAACGCGTGGAGATATCGAGTTGAAATAAAATCTTATACTCAGTTCCTGAAGCTGAAAATAATGAAACTTCAAAGTAATTCAACACGAAAAAAGACACGACCTACTGCAAAAAACGCACATTTAGACATTTAAAGAGATTAAAATTAATAGGGTAATTCCCATTGACCTAGAAATTTGAAAATTGATAAGCAAACTTGTTACTTGTTGAACTTTAATTTTCCAATTGTAATAAGAGATGTATTCCAATAGATTATAACACAAGGACAAACGCCCTTATAGAACAAAACGAAATTCTTTTTATTGAGAAATCTTCTGCTATCTGAACCGGGACGATAATGGAATTTTCCCTTATTATTTGATTTACCTGTTCCTTCAATTTTATATCGGTGCAATAGTGTTATCCCCTTGTTACTATTGTAACTCCGGTCGTTCTCTTTACAACCAATTGTGTCGTCATATATTTTATAAGGATATTTTATCATGATTTAGGTATTTCCTTTTTCTTTAAAATAATTAAATTTTGTGAGGATCTCTATAATTAGAAACTGGACCTTTAAAATATTTAACAAAATTCGTAAATCCTATATCTACACTAATGTTATAAAGAGGTAAATATTCTCACTTTGCTTGTAGAGGGTAGGTAATCTTCTGATATACAGATCCAATAATGAAAACTCTTTTACCTATACTTTACCAACAGGAAGCTACATCATATGTGGTTGCTATAGGCATTAATTTATACGGCTAATGGTCAGTTGCACAAACGACTATTAAGGTTTAATGACGCCTAATTTGTATGGGTAATGTCGATTTAAACTAATGACAATTTTAATGGTTGT